TTCGTGTAACGACTCGAAAACCCAAAGTTTGGACCCAGCGAATTTTACAAAGGACAAGTTAAAGGTTCGACAGTTTGACTTTTTAACTAAAAAACAACCGTCTATAAATATACGTTGTAGAGTCATAAGCATCCGTGGTGTAGTTGTGTTAATTTTTTGTCGCACTCTGGACTTTTCTGCATGTTGAATTAATGTTTTTATTTTTGTATTATACGATTCTAAAATTTGGCTTTGAAAATTTGGCCGACCCGGCGGATTTATGCAATCAATATGTTGTATTAAACGACTCGAAAACCCCAAAATTTGGACCCGACGCGAATTTGTACAATATAGTGGAATATAAGCAAGTACAAGGTAAAGATTCTACAGTTTATTTTGATTTATTGTATGGTACTCATTTGTCTAATACAATAACATTTAGTTCACAAGGGCAAGTTAAAGGTTTCAGCATATTAAAATACATGTATTGAAATTCGCGCAATAGCTACTAGAATTCGCGCAAGTAAAGATAAAGCGAGCGTTCAAAATACCAAAAAGAACTAAGGCATTTATTGTATGGTTCTCATTTGCCTAATGGAATAACATTTAGTTCACAATATAATATAAACACAATATAAACAATAAAAAGTTAAAGGTTTGACAGTTTCACAACACAACGTCGACAATATACCTTAATACATGTATTAAAATTCGCGCAGTAGCTACTAGTTGGCGCGCCAAACGCTTTGTGGTAGCTATACTAAAGATAAAGCGTGCCTTCAAAATACCTACAAGAACTAAGACATTTATTGTATGGTTCTCACTTCTCATTTGCCTAATACAATAACATTTAGCTCGACGCGAATTTTAACTATAGTATCATATTTCATAATATAATGAACAATGTAAACTAGCCAATTCTTTCACCTACAAAATGTCGACAATATACCTTAATACATGTATTAAAATTCGCGCAGTAGCTACTAGAGTTCGAGCAAGTAGTGAAGATAAAGCTTGCATTCAAAATACCGAGACATTTATTGCATGGTTCTCATTTGCCTAATACAATGACATTTACTTCACAATATAATATAAACAAGGAATATAGTCGTTCGATTTGGCTATACTGTTTGCTCGTTTTTAATGTGTATTGATCATTTCAATAATCGATTTACATATCAGTCTGCTCGATTCGAGTAAGGGTTGCCCGATTTGTATCATTGGTGATTTGGTGTTCGACTCGATATGTCAGCGAATTTAAGACTATCCTGGGCTGGCGACTTTGATCGTTTGAAGGAGTTTGTAAAAAGTGACCTAGAGTTGCAGGGAAGCTGGTCATCCCCGGCGAACGAGAAAAAACTTTTCGTGTCAGACAACGTTGAGTTGCTTTGGTGGAAAAACAAAAAGTTCCTAAAGATCAATGGAGAGGACGCAAATCGAATCAAACGTTGTATGATCAACGCTATGTTTACGAGTTTAAACCTCGATAGTATCAAGCCTGGTGTGGACATGGCTACTAACACCGAGAACTCCTTAAACGAAAACCAACCAACAAAACACCAGTGTACGGGTTGTGAATGTTCGAAGCTATCACCAGACTTGGAGGGTTTGAAATTAGACTTGGTTGTTTTGGAATCGAAACTCAACCATAAAATCCAAGCCGTGGAAAACCAAATATTACGCATGACGATTGCCGACCAAAAGAGCCGAAAAATCATGCAAATCTCGAAAATATGTTGACAACCTCTACACCCATTAGCAGCGGCGGCACGAACAAAACAAAAGAGGTTAGTAATTCAAATCCTCACATTAATCCCGTTGTTGTTCGGACCGCTAACGATGCATGCTTCACACCAATAAAAGTACCGGATAACACAGAAACTTTTATGGCCATAGATCAGTCATGCGAGAAAACGTCACACCATGATTTGGTGCCATTGCCAAAATCCATCAATCACTCACAAGAGGAATTAACCCTGACAAAGGTAGTTTTCCCTGTTAGGAACAATAGTGAACAGTCGAAAATAGGCGAGCTTTCCCATACGGGAAGCCGTACAAATCCTATTCAAAAAGAACAAAGCTGTCATTATAATGTTCCTGGTAGGCAATCTTGCTCTAGTTATTTACATGATCGTGGTCAACAATTTCGAAGCATTCCAGTACGTATCACTCACCGTCCACTGCCAGTGAACCCAGAGAAAGTAAATAAACATAGACGTGCGTACCGGAGTCAGGTTTTTCGACATCGACATCAGACGGACTGGCTCAGGCATCTGGAGCTGGTCCGCAAAGTAATTCGGTCATAAACTGTTTCTATTCTAACCTAATTGTTGTGCCTACGGTCCCTTCTACTTCTAAATGTGAACTTACAAACTTATTTGATTTTTCCCTTCTTAATGCCAGATCGGTTAGAAACAAGACTATGATTATTAAAGATTTTGTTGTGGATAAAGATACTGATATTCTTGCTTTGACGGAAACTTGGCTCCCTCCAAGTGGGAACGATTTGATTATTGGGGATCTATGCCCAACAGGTTATAGTTTTCTGCATACACCGAGACATGGATCAATCGGTGGGGGCGTTGGTCTCTTATTCAAGGAAAGTCTTAATATTAAGCGTAATGTACAGGAGGTATTTAGGTCATTTGAATACCTTGACAGTTCTTTTTTGAACTTTCTACATATTAGAATTATTGTTGTATATCGGCCGCCTCCTTCATCGGCTAACTCATTGACATCTACTCTATTCTTTGAAGAGTTCTCATCCTTTTTGGAAGGAATTATTGTATCACCCGGGCAACTCTTGATAGCTGGAGATTTCAATTTTCATCTGGACAATCCTAATGACCCTCTTACCAAACGGTTCGTGGATCTTCTCGCTTCCTTTGATTTGAAGCAGTACATTTCTGGATCAACACATGCAAGTGGTCACACACTGGATTTAATTATAACGCGATCTGAAGAAAACATTGTTAACCATTACAATATCTTCGATCCTCTGATTTCTGATCATTCAGTTGTGCATTTACAACTATTGATTAGGAAACCGAAGTTTGTGAAGAAACATTTGCTTCTTCGTAATTTGCGGGCGGTTAATATTCATAAATTCAAAGCGGATGTACAAAATTCTTTTCTTCTTAAGAATTTTACGACTATGGATTTGGTATCATTGGTGAATGAGTATGATTGTCTTCATACTATCTTAGATAACCATGCACCGATTAAATCCCGGGAAATTACATTGCGCCCTAAGGCACCCTGGTATACTAACGAAATCAATGATAAGAAACGAATTCGGAGACAACTTGAGAGAAAATGGCATAAAACAAGGACGAATGCTGATTGGAATCGCTATAAACAACAATGTTATGCTGTAAATAAACTTATCGACTCCTCAAAATCGGCTTACTATACCGACTTAATTAATAATGGATCATCTGATCAAAAAACCCTTTTCAAGACTGTAAGCAATTTGCTGCATACAAATACGATTATTCGCTATCCATCTTCTCCTGACCCAATGTCACTTGCCAACTCATTTAGTGATTTCTTCACTCAGAAAATTGTTAAAATACGAGGTGATATCGAAGATGAACTCTTGAGTAAAAACATAGAAAATCCTATACCTGATGCTGATTCATGTCCTTATGAATTTCACACCTTCAGGGAGGTTGGAAAAGACGAAGTGCTCCATTTAATCCAACGTATCGCAACTAAATCCTGTTCTCTGGATCCACTCCCGGTGGTCATGCTAAATCACTGTTTTAAAGACATCTTACCCGTTGTAGTTAGAATAATCAACCTCTCCTTGGAAAGTGGTACAATGCCTGACTCTTTGAAGATTGCTGTTGTTCAACCGCTATTAAAAAAGTACAATCTTTCCTATGAAGAATTCTGCAGTTTTCGTCCAATATCAAATCTGAAATTTGTCTCGAAATCTATTGAGAAAGCAGTTGCTGTACAATTAACTGATTATCTTACTGAAAATCATCTACATGAGAAATTCCAGTCTGCTTATAAACCTTGTCATAGTACTGAAACAGCGCTATTGAGGGTTCAAAATGATATCCTTCAAGCTCTAGATAACGGTGATTCTGTTATTCTTGTCCTACTGGATCTGTCGGCGGCTTTTGACACCGTGGATCATTTAATGTTATTAACAAGACTATCGAAACGCTTTGGCATAAGGGGTCGTGTGTTGGATTGGCTTACCTCATACCTTACATCCAGGAAACTGTTTATTCGTGTTGAGGGAACTGATTCGTTATTGAGTGATCTTGATTGTGGTGTACCTCAGGGATCTGTGTTGGGTCCTCTGTTGTATTCACTCTACACTGCCCCTCTCGCGGATGTGGCTAGGCGCCACAATCTGCGCTTTCACTTTTTTTCTGATGATGGGCAACTTTACATTGCATTCAAAACGAATGATCGTGATGATTTAATATCATCTAAGATCCGTATGGAGAAATGTATACTTGAATTGGGAAACTGGTTGATGTTGAATAAATTGAAACTAAATAGTGGCAAAACGGAGCTTATATTAGTCCATTCACGCTATCATCTGATGCCTCCCTTAAATTATATCATGGTGGGAAAGGAAAAAATTGTGCCAACTGTTTCAGCAAGAAATCTGGGGGTGATTTTTGATGAGTGGATCAGATTGGGCGAACATATTAATGGTATCTGCAAGTCAGCTTACTACCATATTAGGAATATTTCAAGAATTAAGAAGTATCTACCTCGAAATTGCTTAGAAATAATTATTCATGCATTTATAACTTCAAGACTGGATTATTGTAACTCCCTGTTGTATGGTGTACCCAAATATTTGCTTCAGAAGCTTCAGAGAGTCCAAAATACTGCAGCTCGTTTACTAACTGATACTAAGAAATCGGCGCATATCACCCCAGTTCTTATCGAATTGCATTGGTTACCTGTCCAATACCGTATTCAATTCAAGATTATACTTCTTGTCTACAAAGCTGTTAATGATCTTGCTCCATCGTATCTGAAGGAACTTATGCTGTGTCGTACTTCGCAGCGTACTCTTCGATCAAATGGAAATGAATTGCTCCAGATTCCTTATTCTAGACTAAAGACATACGGAGACAGATCGTTCTGTGTTGCTGGACCAAGATTGTGGAATGATTTACCTGTTCATCTTCGGATGTGTGAATCATTAACCATTTTTAAGAAGTTTCTTAAAACATATCTTTTTAACTTGTTTTTAAATAGTGTATGATGTATTCTATAGTTTTAACATTCTTAACACTAGTTTTTAAGATTGGATTTTGTATTACTGTAAAGCGCCTAGAACAGTCTTGGTTTGTGCGCTATATAAATGTTTATTATTATTATTATTATTATTATAACTATTGGACCTATTGAATTTTGACAGTAAAAACGCGCCATATATAATACATGTATTAAAATTCGCGCAGTAGCTACTAGCATTGGAGCAAGTAAAGATAAAGCGGTGCGTTCAGTGAAATACCAACAAGAACTAAGATATTTATTGTATGGTTCTCATTTTCCTAATACAATAACATTTAGTTCACAATATAATATAAACAAGGAAAAGTTAAAGGTTTGGCGTTTGACTACACAATGTCGGCATTATACCTTAATACATGTATTAAAATTCGCGCAGTACGTATAGCTAGTGCTACTAGCATTCCGGCGGACCTATTGAATTTTGACAGCAAAAACGCGCCATATAATACGTGTATTAATTAAAATTCGCGCAGTAGCTACTAGAATTGGCGCAAGTAAAGATAAAGCGTGCGTTCAGTGAAATACCAACAAGAACTAGAACGTTTATTGTATGGTTCTCATTTTCCTAATACAACTCGATCAACTCATAGCTATTATGTGCTCATTTGTTATCATGTGCTCATTAATTCTTATATCAATATTGGAATATGATCACGAAATACTGCGTAGCGCAAAATCTCCATTCTTCAAAACGTATCGTTCAAGGCAACAAGTGAAAGGCGAAGAAGACAATGATATATTGTATCTGACTGCTTCAATACTCAGAAATGATCCACGATCATGATTTGATAAAGTTCAATATGGTCACGTGATTTTCGGTGTGAACCTGAGATACTATCTATAAATATTATTAGTAAGTATCTGACATTAAACTAAATGTGATTAAAGCACAAGAGATGTTACCTATGTCTCATTTTATATTTTTATTTTTTTCCTATGAAGGTTTGTTACTTGTGCAAAAGCGCAACTTTAATTAGGTTTCAAACAGTTTCTGCCTTCTGCTTTTTGTTGTCGAATTATTGATTTTCTTTGGATAAATCTACCGCTGAAACTGTTCTATACGAACTCTCTTGCTTCCCATTCCCTTGTCTATTACACCATAGCCAATCTCGTTCCCCGAGCCTGCGATCCTCGGGAAGGAAACGAAGGTTCTGGGATAATCCGTTGCCGAAAGCCAGGAATTCTGGTTAAGATTGAACTGCACATTCCATATCAACGGCCAATCAGATTCCTCCCTGAAACGGATTATCCCAGAGCCTTCGTTTCCTTCCCAACGACCGCAGGCTCAGGGAACGAGATTGCACCATAGCACGCATAGGCTATCATCATTTTCAGGTCAGTGTGAACGCCTGAGTAGGCGTCTTGTTGTATTTAGATGGACGAGGGCGGAAGCTGTTTACACTTGGGCCGTAACGTTTCGTGAACAAAGCAAAAACCGATCCGATACAATGTAAACATAGCCTAAG